AACATTCATCGGCCCATCCCTGGATCCATCCGTATGGGTGACGCACTTCTTGAACCATAAACATAAAAACATGAGAACCACAACAATAACAACAAAAAACAGGAAGACACGAAAATAAAAGCTGATGAAACTCGGGAAAGACAAAACCACGTCAGAGATGAAGACTACCTTATAACATGTCAAAAAATGCAGATTCAAATGAGAATTTAGTAAGGAATACTGAAGAAAAACGGGAAAAAAACAAAAATGAGATGAAGTCAAAAGAGTTAGTCAAAACTGCTGAAAATAAGTCAAGTAGAGGAGGCCCAACATACGGATGACTGAAGGCACCAAAACGAACAGACTAACGCTTCAAACTATAATCCAAGAAAATTCTACAGAAATATAGACCTGGATCTCTTAAAAGGCCAACCTAGACCTGAAATGATCAACTGAATTTGAGACATTAAAATAAAGCCATTAGACTTTGAAAAGAAAAAAAAAAATCTTTGCGTCCACAAGCAGAAAAACCAAATAATTTATAAGAGGGAAAGCATCAGACCAGCACCAGATGCTTCAAGACACACTAGGTTCCAGCTGTGTTCAGTCCTAACAAACCAAACCTCCACCAGAAAAATACACTGTAAAGCTTTAAGCCATACGCTCTGATAATCCGAAAAACAAACAAAAACCTCCACTACCTTTGGAAGATGGAAAACGAATAGGTGAATTTTAAAAGGAAACGAAATACCTGTGGTTTTCCCTCATTTCCTGGGTCTGCACCCTGAGGCAAATCAGTGACACCTCCGTGGGAGGGGCCGGGATGGGCAGCTCAAAGCCCAAGGGAAGAAAGACCAAGGGAACTAGAGGGAGCAGCCCAGGGCCCCAGAGAACGAGGCGAGGGTGCCGGAAATGAAAAGGACAGGGAAGAGGGGCCTCAGGTTGAGCAGAGAAGCTGCAGTCCCCGGCCGAGGCCTGACGCACCCTGCGGCTGGGGCTGAAGGAGCTGAAGCATCTATGCGGACGCCCAGCACAGGATTACAAACCGGCTAACTGCTGAAATGAAACCATCGATATACTCTTTGGGGCAATATAAAAAAACCCAGTCTATGTAAACATTTACAAGGTCCAAAATAGAGCCCTAAGTTATCTGTCCTATGAAGAACCAAGAAAATGTGACACATTCTCGAGAAAAAAACAACTAACAGATGCCAACGCCAATATGAAATTATCAGACACGGAGATTAAAGGAATTACTGTAACTATACTCCACGAAGAAATGGAAAATACACTTGTAAATAAAGATGCCAAAAGCCAAGACAGGAAATCTCAACTGAAAAACAATACACACAGACATACAGTTAAACATGTTATAAATGAAAACTGCCTGAAACGAATTTACTAAATGAACTTAATGACAGAACAGAGTTGATGGAGTCAATGAACTTGAAAAAAAAGATCAATGAGATGAGAAAAAAAAAAGAGAGACTGAAAAATAATACAAACCAGGGCATCAGAGACAAGCGGGAAAATTTCGAAGGCTGCGTTACACAGGAGGGGCTGGCCCACAGCCAGATTTTAGAATAAAGCTTTATTGCAGCAGAGCCACACCCAGTCGTTTGCTTATTCTCTAGGGCTCCCTTCACACAAGAGTTTAGTTAAATAAAGACTACGTGGCCCACAAAGCCTAAAATATTCACTATTTGTCCCTTTACAGAAAAACTTTGCCAGTCCCTGTTATGCAGCTAATTAGAGCACGAGAGAGACAGAGAGAGAACATGGGAAGGAAAAACTATTTAAAGAAATAATGGCCAATAACTAATAGTTTATACATTCAAAAAGCTCAGTGAAATCCACACAGAATAAATTTAATAGCACTTAAACTTCTGAAAAACAAAGATAAGGAGAAAAACTTGAAAGAAGTCAGAGACAAAGGACACTTACAATGGAGAAATGACCTGAACGGTGACGGCGTCTCATGAGACCAGGGGACAGGAGGCTGAGAGAACCATCAGCCTGGAGCTGCACATCCACTGAAAATATTATTCACAGACGATGATGAAATGAGGACATTTTCAGATAAAGAAAAACTAAGGAAATTTGTTGTCATCGGATTAAACAACTCCACAGTAACATGGGGACTTCGACGCCCCATCCAATGATGGACATAACTAAACAGAGCACGTTAAGAAAGTATAAACCGACTACTGCAGACCCGACAGGACAGTGTGTGTAGGACGCGCCTTCCACCTGCCAGCACAGAACAGTCTCCTCGAGCGCGCTTGCAACGTTCTCCCGGGCGGGACCAATGTCAGGGCATGAAACCAGCCTCAATCACTTTAAAAGGACTGAAATAATAATAAAAAAGTTTTCTGACCACAGCAGAATAAAATCAGATATCAAAAATGGAATGAAGTTTGGAAAACTCACAACATGGAGGAATTAAACAAGAATCTCCTAAATGACCAATGGGTTAAACAAACTGAAAAGAAATTAGAAAATCTTTTGAAATAAATGAAAACAAAACACAACAGCAAACCTTACGAGAAGCGCTGAGCAATGTCGAGAAGGAAGTCAGTCTCTGGGGAGCTGTGTCGCGGTCCCTCCAGGTTTGCAGACGCCCAGTGGGCACTGCGGTTCGGGACTGCGGAACCGGGAACCACTTCAAGGCCCACCCGCCCGGGAGGGGGCTTGTGAAGAGCCGGACCCGGGTTTGACTCCATTTCCTCGGCCTGCCCTCCGTAACCTACACTTCCAGCATCGGACTCTCCGAACGGCCTCCTCTTTCTAAACACAGCCCCCGGTAAAACCCCAACACCCCAACTCCCCTAAGATCTGCTGCCTGAATCCGTCAGCCTTCCGTCATCTCGCCCCTCTCCCCGCTGGCTCTGGGTTCACGGTCCTTCAGGTCCTTCACTGTGGCTGCCTCGCATTTCCCCAGCTCCCTGGGGGAGGGAGGGGTGCCTGGCGAAACCTAACCGTAGTTAAACCCAACACGACCCTCAGCCTCCTTCCCGCTGCAGCTGCGGGATGAACAATGGGCCTGCTCCTCTGGCCTGTGTTCAACTCACAGCCGCCCCGAACCCAGCCGCGAGTCTTGCCCAGTCGTCCTTTCAGGACATCTCCCTGATCCGTCACTCTTGCCCCTTCCTGGACACCGATTTCACGTGTTCTCTTCAAAGCTCCTGCACCTTTTCCCACTCATTCTCAGACAATAGATAACCTTTCACTTCTCCTCGGTAAGAAAGCAGAATCACAGAAGAATGTCCCCAAGTCCTGATGCCCCGTCTACTCAAGCAGCAACTGTCCCCTGCACTCTGCACTCTCCGTCTCCAGGCAGTGATCCATCCCTGATCCTATATAACCCATGGCCTACAGAGGGTAACCCCTCTAGCTGGCGTCTGCTAGACCAGTCCCACAGCCCCCAAGCCGCTTGCGTGAGAAATGGACTTGCACGTGCGGATCTCTCCCCTAGCCTCTGCATCACAAAACTTCCCTCCACCCATCAGCATAGAGATGCTGTCGCTTCTCCATCTCAAACGACCCTCCCCACTGCACATCCCCCCACCAGGTACTGCTCCCGACCTCCGTCCCTCATCAGGGCTCAACAGCCCCAACTGCTACTTGACCTCTCCAGTCCCACGAATCCACTGTAACTGCAGGTGGAGACCCCAGAGACCCCGCCCCACCGATCCCAGTGCCAACCTCAGACTGGCCTGCACGCAGTCCCTTTGCCACAGGTGATCATCGCCTGCCCTTGGAAGCTCTACTCACCTGCCATCTAGAACACCACCCTCACTGGGGTCCGCCCTCCATCTCCCACACCGGGGCGCCCAACCCGGACCCTCTTCCCTCCCCACCCACCTATGCCCTCTAGGAGGGCGAGTCCAGATTCCAGGCTCTAAGTAATAGCTGTAGACTGAGTGCGCCCACGTTCTACCTCCAGCCTCGCCCAGGAGCTCCACACTCACACATCCAACCGCCTGCCACCTGGCGCCTCCACGTGGGTGCCTGACACACGCCCCACGAGCACATCCGGGGGACTCCTCCTCCCCCTGAGCCTGGTCCTCCGAAGCCTTCCCCATCTCGGGGATGGCAAACCCACCTTTCCAGTCCTGGAGCCAAAGCCACACATCACCCCTGACGCCCCCTTTCTGCACTCACATCCAAACCCGCAGGAGGGCGAGTCTGGCAGGCTGTCCTAGACACGTCCTGAACCCAAACGCTGGCGACCACACTGCGGCCAGCCTGGGTCACTGACAGCCTCCCGACGTGCTCCCGCTCCCACACCCGCTCCCACACCCGCTCCCGCACACTTCCCTTCTGCCTCGCCCCACCATCATCTGACTCCCCACTACCCTTCTGACCTCAACCTCCTGCTAAGCTTCCCCCTGAACACTCTTGCCCTGGGCTCAGGTGTGTCCCCCCAAATTCACAAGAAGCCCTAATCCCCAGAGCCTCAAAAACATGGCTGTATTTGGAGATGGGGCCTTCAAAGAGAAAATTAAGGTTAAATGAGGTCATACGGGTGGGCCCTAATCCAATAGGACTGGTGTCTTTACAACAGGAGATTAGGACAGACACACTCAGAGAGACCAGGTTAAGACACAGAGATAAGACAGCCAGCCATCTGCAAGCCTAGGAGAGGCCTAGGAGGAACCAACCTGCCAACGTGGTTTTGCCTGTTGTTTACGCCCCAGGATGTGGCGCATTGTTACTGGCAGCCCCAGCCACTAAAACAATCTGCCTGGTCACACTCACTCTTACTGTTCCCTGAACACACCAAGCACAGGCGCCTCGGGGCCTGCGTGCTCACCTCTCCTCCCAGGAGGCAGGACTAGGGATCACACTTTACTCATTTTTCAGCTGCGGACACTGAGGCTTGAGGATGTTAAATGACTTGCCAGGTAAGAGGCACAGAAAAGGCAAATCGAATGTTACCTGGTTCTGTGATCCGTGCAAAACATGTCGCATACTTCACCAATACGACATGCTTACAGACACATAAGAGAAGGACTTACTTGTCGACCCAGAGCACCGAAACAAGCTTCACGCCTTTCTTCTGCGCTTTGTCCCACGTGCTCTGGTACCCGTCTTTGAACACCACGTGGGTCACTTGTTTGTTAAAAGTTTTTGAAACCTTTAGACAAAGCACAGAAAACAAAACGTGAATGATTACTGTGTGCACACAGTTTCACAAAGTGATCTGAGTTACTTGTTTGTTAAAAGTTTTTGAAACCTGTAAAGTGCAGAAAACAAAATGTAAATTACTATTAGCAGTTTCATAAAGTATAAGCAAGTGCCACTCATGGAGTATGCAAAACAAGCAACAAAATATTAGCAAACTGTATCAACCTATAAAAAAGATAACACATCCCCACCACTTAAGTTAATTCCAGGACTACAAAGTTGGTTAACATTAAAAAAAAAAATCAATAATTATTCACATTAACAAAGTCAAAGAGAAAAACCATGATTATCTCAATACACGAGCAAAACACATTTCATAAAATTTAAAAGTTTATTCATGAGGAAAATTCTCAGTAAGTTAGGATTTCACAGTTGGTACAAAACTGTAATCAGGGGAAATGCTAAAAAGGCTTTTCCCTCGAGAAGAGACACCAGACCTGGACGTCCACCTAATGTCTGTCCACTCTACTCCGCTGGCCCTAGCTGGTAAAGCCCACTGAGAAAAAGAAATGAAAGGTGTTAGAGATAGAAAAAAATAAAACTGTCCTGGGCACACATGATTCACTTGCATACGTTTTTAAAATCCTAAAAATACCACAGAATTCATAAATGAGTTGGTAAGTTCTGTGATCACAAAGTGGATAAGCAAAAACTATTTCCATATGCCAGCAGCAGTTAGAAAATGGAATTTTAAAGATACCATTCATAGTAGCATCAAAAATGACCACAGAAAATTATAAAACATTATTCAAACAAATTTAAAAAACCAAAATCAACAAAGGCATATATCATGTCACGGGTTGGAAGATTCAATGTTGTAAAAATGTCAGTTCTCTCCATACTGATCTATTGTTATCCATCCAATCCCAATCAAAATCTCCAAAAAAAGGTGGTAAACTGACAAACATTCTAAAATTCATTTGAAGAACAAAGGAGACTGATGAAAATTTATTATAAAGAGCAATTAAGGTAGGGTGGTTTGTCATGAGAGAACACGTGTATACTGACACCTACGGTCACCTGCCTGATGACAAAGGTAGTGTGGAGCTTGGTTAAAGGACAGTCTTTTCAATAAATGGTGCTGAGCAAAATGAACACTCACACGGAAAAAAATGAAACTATTTCATACCATATCTGCAAATCAATTCCAGACATACTGTAAATCCAAATGGGAAGGCAAAATGATAAAGCTTCCTGAAAATAACAGAGGAGAAAGTCTTCATAACCTTGGTGTGGGAATACGTTTTTAAATGAGACACACAAAAAACCTCACCATAGAGGGAGAAACTATGTCATATCCTCTCCCAAATCCACTGCCCACACAGACACCTGAACTCCCTGACGGCTATGTCATACAGCAGCGCTCACCATCTCCGTTATCGAGACACCAGCAAGAAGGTGCAAAGGAGCCAGAGCGACGAGATATTGCAATTCAAATGACTGACAAAGCGGTCACCGAGAAAATGCCGAGAACGCTTACAAATCAAGGAGGAAAAAAAACCCAATGGAAACATGAACCGAGACCAGAACAAGCTCCTCAAGATAAACGGAGGAAAATGAGCGGGAAAACGCACTCAGTCCACAGTGACACGCCACCAGGAACGCACCAGGAACGGCTGAAAGTGAAGGCTGACGAAGCCACCACGACAGCAGAACGTGGCC